CCTGGATAGTCCTGACAACAAAGAAGGCAAAGCATTGATAATGTTATGTATATTAAGGATGGAACTGAGCTCTGGACACTTAAATGGAGTTATCCCAACACAGTGGGGCACTGAGAGCCATCCAGCTGACCCTCATGCAGCCAGTTGCCAAATTGCTATCCACGCTCCATTTGCTGGGCACGTTAACAGGAGTTATTTCTTGCCCAAAGTGGAGGAGCAGGAAGCAGCCTGAGGGTGAAGAGAATAGGATTTGGCTGCTGAGATAAAACAATAGATGGAAAAATCAAGAGAGCAGATGGGCATGTTAAATTTCTAATGCCACTCTCATATTTTGCACATTATTCTCTATGACCACCTTGATACATTCAACATGTCATTTTCCAGAGACGAGACAGAAAAGCTTCCTATCCCTATTTCCTAATGCCATTCACTTCATTTTAAGCCTCCTATAAAAGCTGCCTTTTTATTTCCATTCTTCCTCTTAAGGTGTCTGAAAATATTTAAACTTGGTGCTCGCCGGACAGGGGATAAACACACAATTTACTATCCCATCTCCTCCCTGCTTGATATGACACAGATTGCTCCCATTTTTACTTCAGGTCAAGTTTTATACTCTGCAAGGCCTGAACTCAGCGCTCCAAACTCATTTTCCTACAGATACACATCTGCTATGCTGAATCTGATCACCCAAAGACCTTTTCACTATTAGGCTGAGGAACATCAGCACTGATACGTGCAAGCAGCTGACCGAAAACCTGACCAAAGAGTAATAATAATAGCCTGAATAATTTTGGCTACCACATCATCCTACTTACTCTTTTTTGTCCTAAACATATTTTGGATTAAGCTTCACTATCTATTTTTCACCCAGCACTGGGATAAGAAGTGGAGCGCTAGCGATGCTTATATTGGAAAGAGTGATTGATAGCTGGGAATTATCTGCAGATTGCATCATATTTCACTTTCCTTTTGGGTTACGATTAGACAACAACAAGCACAGAATTACTGCAGCAGAACCCATGGGGAAGAAGCAACTGTAACTTGAACACCTCTAAAAATCAGAGAATTTTTTTCTACCATGGCTGCAGCGTTTCACACAGCATATGCAGGACAACCAAGTGACCAGACAAAGCCAGTATGGGTTTATGAAGGGCAGGTCATGATCTCCTTCTATGAGAAGATGATCAATTTAGCAAGAGAGGGAAAGGCTATGGATCTGCTGTCCATCTGGATGGCAGCAAAGCATATGACGCCATTTCTCACAGTACTTTCTTGGCTGCTTGTGGCTTTGACAGATGTATGGTTCACTGGGCAAGGAACCAACACAATGGCTCCCAGAGAATGGGGTTCATTCCAGTTGATGCTTGGGCCAGCTTTGTTTCACATTTTTACCTATGATCTGGCTCATGGGATCAACGACACCCTAAGATCTTGGATTATATGAAGTTAGGTGGGAGTATAGACCTGCTTGACAGTGGGAAGGATCTGGGTAGGATAGACTTATGAACTGAGCGCAACCACTGGCATTCAACAAGGCTCAGTGCTGAGTCCCACACTTGGATCATAACCTGAAGGAGTGGTATAGGCTTGAGAAGAAGAGAAGGATGCCCAACAGAAAAGGACTTGACAGTGCTGCTTGACTGATGAGCCAGCAGTGTGCCCGCATGGCCAAGAAGGCCAACAGAGTCATGGCCTGCATCAGAAATAATGTGGTCAGCAAGAGCAGGAAGGTAACTGTCCCCTTGTACAAGGCCCTGGTGAGACCACACCTCAAGTGTTTAATTTTGGGCTCCCCAGCTACAGGAAGGATACTGAGTCACTTGAGTGCATCCAGAAAAGAGAAGCAAAGCTCATGGAATGACTAGAAAACAGGACATGAGGAGTCACTGAGGGGCTGTTCAGCCTGCAGAATGAGAGGCTGAGGGGAGGCCTCATCCTTCTCTACAACTCCCTGGAAGGAGGCTGCAGTAAGATGGGTGATGGTCTCTAATCTCAGCTGATAAGACATGAGAAAACAGCCTCAAGTTTTGCAAGAGATGGTTTAGATTGGATGTTAGGAAGAATTTCTTCAGAGGGAGGCTGATCAAGCGTAAGAACAGGCTGCCAAGAGAAGCAGCAGAGTCCTCATACCTGCAGTATCCAAGAGCCATGCAGACATGGCACTTACTGACACTGTATAGTGATGAGATTCAGAAGGCTTGATGACCTTGATGGACTTTTTCAACCTAAGTGATTCTATGATTCTGTGCATTAAGTGTAAGCTTATAACATATTGTCCAACTCGGATGTCTTGCCACCACTGCTTCATCACCTTTCCCTTCACCCAGCCTCTGAACTGTAACACAGCAGGAGGAGGTGGAAGAGGTGGTCTCCAAATACATCATCACTTTATACATGGAGGAAAAAAGGTAATTAAACAACGTTTGTTTTCCCCAAGCTGGTCTACAAACTTTGTGACACAAAGTTCCTGTAAGAATAAATGGAGAAAAACAGAGAGCAGCCACTCCCAAAGAAAGGAGAAATAGTGAACCTCAAAATCACATCCTTCAAAACCATTGTTACAACAGAGGTATAAACTTTTGGACACTTAAAACGTTCAGTGTAGCAAACTGCTGTTCATCATTTTAACTACCACTGTTTAAAGGGAGCCCTGATAGGATTTATTGAAGTTGTGCATGAAAAGAACATCATCAGCTATAAAACCATCATAGTTTCTACAAAAAAGCCAAACAATTTTTTTAGCAGACTTTCATTTTGAGGGACAGTCTTTATTAATATCTTTAATCAATGCATGGCAAGGATTTAAAGCCGTTTCCTCATGTTTTACAACAACAGAGGGATGCAATAGCAGAGACTTATGAAGTACCAGATAGATGCAAGGGATGTAGAGAAGGAGCAGGGCAAAGAATGCAGACAGACTGAAACCTGACAAGAAAAGAATGTCCTGATGACCTGCCTTGAAAGTGCCCTTGTGTTCAAGAAACATTTAGATGTTGCACTGAGAGACATGGCTTGATGGGAAATATTGGTGGTAGGTGGACAGTTGGACTGGATGATGTTGGAGGTCTTTTCCAACCTCGGTGATTCTGTGATTCTATGAAAGAGCTGCACGTGTAAACTGAGTTTAAATGGGCTCAAACATGCCTTGTTAGCACTTTGGATTTTTTCTTTCTTAAAAGACAAATTAGACTCAAAATAATTTAAGGAGAAATCTTTCATTTGGGCCACTGCTACAATATTTTAACTGAGCTCGAAAGCACAGTATTTATTTCTCAGTCTATTTTTCTTATACATTCCTTGATAACATTTAACCCCAGGAGCCAGCAGGGAACGTTATGTTTACTCCATTTTCCTTTCTTGCCAAGAGAGATAAAGAAAAAAAAAACCAGCCATGGTAGTCAAAATTTATCTACCTTCAGAGAATATGAAAAGCCTCAAAGACTTAAATTATTTCAAAGATTAAGGGTTATCTGTTTGAAAAACACTGATTACATTATGCATTTGAGTTCACTACTAAGAGCAAAAACAACTGAAGCAGAAAGAGGAAGAAGGGGAGAAGAGTTATCAGACATCACCCTGCTTTATTACAAGAAAGGAGATCCACAGATGGAGTAATTTTATAATACTCCCACTCCTGCACTGGAAAGCACAACCTGATACAGGTTTTTAAGGTATGCAAGAAACAGTCTCTTGCACAGAACTTAATTTCTGTGCCTGCAACTGCCCTCATCCCAGATTGCAGCTGGGAGGAAAAGCTATACCAGTGGACAGATTTCACCTCAAAATCCATAAGCAGAGGAGATGCACAAGATACCTCTTGGGAAAAATATCTGACGAGGCACAGACACCTACATTTAGAATTTGCACTTGGATTCACTTGGATAAAGCACAACTGCTCTCTCGTTTGCATACAAGAAAACAGCACAAGGCAAAACTCCAAAATAACCCTATGCTCAGCCCAGCCTAACCTGTCTTGTATTCACACATGACACCAGGCTTTGCTTTCCATGGTTTCAGTGCCTACCACAGCATGAGAACCCCAGCAACACGATGTGGCCATCTGCATGGCAGCACACAGGACTTGCTTCTCCACAAATACAACTCCTCAAATACAACTTTCTACATCTGTGCTTAAAAAATGAGAAAGAAGGATATATTCCTTATGTTCTGGGGTGACAACACACTGGCTGTTGTATCACTGTAGTTGGACTTGATCTCTAGTCCCTTCCAACATGGGTTACTCTATTGGTCACTTTGTGTCTCAGGATGTAATGTGTAACGACAGCTCCAGCTCAGAAGCAGAAGGGGCGTGAGGAATCACCACACACATGAGGCACAAGCAAGGAAAAACACTGTTTTAAGTGATTAATAGCATGCATTTTCATATGCTGCAACACAAGAAAGTTGGGAAGTTGCTATGGGCCCCAGCTTGACAAAAGGAAGAAAGCTCCAGTACTAAAAACTGCTTTCTGTGAAGTGCATTAATAGCTTTCCAACATCTTGTGTGGTTCCTTCCAGCTTTCTTTAACGCTAATATGCTTCTGCAATTAAAGCATATGAGACAGAATTCCCCTCAACACGAGTACAAGCTATTCACTTGACAAAGGGAATTGTCTGTTTTCAACACATTAACGTGTGAACTCACGTGCCCAGTGTTGTAACAGAGATAGTTCCTCTCTCAAAGCACATCTATAGTCTCCTAGTTTGCTGGTGGTTTTATCTTTACGCTGTCTAAAACCCAAGTTCTGGGAATACAGGACATTCGCCCCTATTTTTTGTGCTTGGCAAGAACTGCAGTATCAGGATGGTAAAATAGAATCATTTGTCACTGAAATTGTAATGGAAAACACACTATTATAAATGCCTAAACAGAAGCATTTACAGATTAGTGGAGCTTATCCTTAACTGAAGGTTAATACTGTGCATAGGTGAACAAATATAAGGCAGGAGGACTATAAAGAAGACATTTAAGAAATAGCATTCAATTTTGTCATTTCAACCTCTCTTCTTCGCGATGCCCAGCAACTCTGCTTAATCTTCCAGACCACAGCTGCCACCAGGAGCAGAGACAGGAAACAACTGTAAAAGAGAAAAGAAAACAAATATCTTACTGTCCTTGCTCATGACATAAAAGGGGCTGAAAGACTCTAGCAAATAAAAAAAAAAACAGACTAAATGTTCATATGGCACTCAGAGGTACTTTGATGAAAGATAATGTGGCAGTGCAAAACAGTTTGCACAGCCCAGTGCTCGCTACACCAGGCGAGGAACGAAACTGCTGTTCCAATGTTACCTATTTGACCTCCTTACACGACACAGAAACCAGCTTTCACTGGGCAATCAGAACAGCAAGGCACAGAGATTTAATCATATTGGAAAAAGCCAGTTATCGACTATCTTTGGCAATATGTAAACGGAGATGATAACCCACAAGAGAAAAGCCTTGAAAGCAGCAGAGAAAATTGATTTTTTTTTTTTTTTCATTTCCAAATTACAAAAAATAAGATGAAGTGTAGAGTCGTTGGATTCTTTTTAACTGGTTGCTGCAGAACTATAGGCATTGCTTGGTTTCCCCAAATCTGTATTCTTTAAGTCTAAAGAGGAAAAAATGGATGAATGGGTTTATCGACTTCCAGGGAAAATGCAAAAAAGAAGATTTAACAAAAAAGCAGCTATAACAATAATAATAAAAGCCGACTTTATTGACAGTGATGATGTTATCAGGCTGAATACTTAACAAGCAACTTCAAGGCACGCAGGCTTTCTAAGATTAAAATTTATCCTTTTGTGTAACCACCCCAATGAAAGACTCTCTTCTCAAGTACCGCAGTGATGGGTAAAAGAAAGTCCTTCCTCTGGAGTCTAGAGTGCATTTAAACAGAGTGCTTATAGGAAGATTAACCAGAGCAGACAACTGCTTTCCTGAAGTGCATCATTTATGGCAGCTGCTGTGCTCTGGAGGGGGATTTCTGTGGGATGGGCCATGGTTTGGTTCTCGCCATTCTGGAGCTCCCACAGAGCCCAATAGCAGAGGGACCACTCACTACTCCCTGCCTTCACCAATAAACATTTCCATTTATTTAATATATTTACTATATTTCCATATATTTAATATTTTTTTATGTAATGTTTCCACTGCTTCCAAACATACATCCACCCTTCTATGCTTTCCACTGTGCTCTCTTGCCCAAGGAGGCTGTGGGTGCCCCATCCCTGCAGGCATTCAAGGCCAGGCTGGATGTGGCTCTGGGCAGCCTGGGCTGCTGGTTGGTGACCCTGCACATAGCAGGGGGTTGGAACTGGATGAGCATTGTGCTCCTTTTCAACCCAGGCCGTTCTATGACTCTATGATTCTTTCCCATACAGATGCCTACAACCCCAATGAGTTTCTCTACTTGCACACAAACCATGGTTGTGCCACTGACTTCAAGATCACAGTTTATGATGACCAATGGCATTGCATCCCACCACCTCCCTATCTTCTCCTCTCCCTTTTGTGCTGTTTGCCTCATACAAGTTACAAGGGACTTCACATCTTGGCCTCTGGGCAACTGGGGGTCCTCTTCTCAGTGGCAAATTCTTTAGCAGAGTGTAGTGCAAAGACATGGCAAAGTTATTATTAATTATTACAAAAAAAGATGGACAGCAGGAGCTGATCCCTGAGACGAGGATAAAGGAAGGTCTGTTCCTGATTCCATATCATTATCCATAGGCTATATATTACGAAAACTGCATGTGACTGGGCACTCAAAGAGCAGCCAGCACTTATACAATTATATTATTCAGTCTCAGAAATGCAGAGATATACGTCTTACTCTCATATACCATAAGATATTAAAAAATTGGTGCCTGCATGGCTTCAGCATTAAAACATCTGCACAGCTTTTACAGACTCCTGCAGTGCTCATTTCTTTACAAATTTAAGCAGGACCACGGAGAGATTTGTTTGGCCTTTTTCATTTCAAGAGGTACAGATTCCAAACCATTTCTCCCACATTTCCTCTAAATATTAAAATCTGACACTTGTTCACTCTAACTGTTCACTCTGTTTACGAGGGTGGATGGTGATAGGAACAAGGGGGAATGGTTTTAAACTGAGATAGGGGAGGTTTAGGGTATGAGGAGGAAGTTTTTCACCCAGAGGGTGGTGAGGCACTGGAACAGGTTGCCCAAGGAGGCTGTGGATGCCCCATCCCTGCAGGCATTCAAGGCCAGGCTGGATGTGGCTCTGGGCAGCCTGGTCTGCTGGTTGGTGACCCTGCACATAGCAGGGGTTGGAATTGGATGAACACTGTGCTCCTTTGCAACCCAGGCCTTTCTGTGATTCTATGAAATTTCTGTCTTGCAGTGAAAATGGACAAACAGTTTAGATGTGCAGTTTTAATGGGAATTTTATTTTTCCTTTTGAGAGGTAATGGATTACTGTTGAGCTTTGTAGTGGAAAGCACTGTGCCACTCATTAGTTAGTAAAGAATATACATTAAACCTTTAATTGCTGCTTTGGTAAAGGAGCAAACACGCATGACTGATGATTAAGGATGCCATACCTTCAGCTTTCCCTTTTTTCCCCAAAGCTCCCTCTTGCTGTATTAAATGTGAGAGCAGACTGTACCACTCGGTAACAGCATTTCTCTCCTGGACAAGGTCACACTTCGACTAAATGGATTTCCACTCATACCACACTTCAACAGGCACAAATGAATGATGGACTAACAAAATTTCTGAGTGCCCACATTTGTCTTGGGACTCCCTTTGGCTGCCCACAGCAGGAAAGCCACCACATTCATTCCAGGGCTTTGATGAGCTTTTCTCTTTTTATAAGCTTCCTTTCCCACTAAAGAAACAAACTCTCAGGTGAAACATCTGCTTTATCTTTGAGGCCCGGACAGGACAGTGCTCCCTGATGAACAAAAATCCAAAGTGCATCCAAGCAAAACCAGCATAGCAAGGACCACACGCTGAACCTTTTGTCTGTCGTCTGTTTTGCTTTCAGGAAAATAATCAGCATCCATGTACACAGCAAGGGTAGAGATAAAACTAAATCTTCAAGGCAGTGGGGAGAAGTGTCCTGACTGTCTGTTTAATTTGACCACAAAAGCACCACCACTCATAGCACCTGCAGGAGGCTGTTAGAAGAAGTATGTGCTCCATTGTGCTGCATCTATCAGAGACACACACGTCAAACCAAAGATGCATGTCAAAATCTACTGAACTTCCCTCAGGATGGCTCTTCTCTAGGATAGAAACGTGCAAGATTACATCTCTCTGCACATTCATTTATTCCCTTGGAGACAAAGGCTAGGGAGTGAAGAATTAAGAGGGTTGTCTTTATCCTCATAGAAAATTCCACTTTGGAAATGTGTATCTCCTAACTCTGCACATGCCAGAGTCTTTCCCTGTTTGCTTCTTCCCTCGCTTCTCTCACCACAGCCAAGAATTTCTGAAGAAAGGAATTAACAATTAAAGACCAACGAATTCTCCTCCTAAAATGCTCACCACAGTACCCTGTATTTCAGAGGAACAGCACCATGCATCTTGGTGCTGTCACAAGGAGGCAGCAAATACCCACAAAAGCCATAAAGCCACTATGGAAATATATTTCCCCCTTGCACTACCTCCCGTTGGCAGCACCTGGGGAGGAATAAACCTCAGTGCCTGTTTGTTTGCTGCACTGCACTACATCATCTGCTGGAAGAGTCCCAGAGCAGTCAAGTCAAGATCTGTCTGCTCATCTTGACTTGACCAGCCTAAACCATCCTGAAATAAGAAGACCTGCCCCCATGCTAGAAGCTTTAAGGTAATTTTTTATCCATACCTTTTCTCTGAAAGCAACTGTGTAAGCATGGAAGGAAGGACAGAATCAGCTGGGTGGAAGAGTGCTGTGTCGGAAAGGGATCTGGAGCAGGAGCCTATAGCTGGCAATGTCTTGGTTAAATACTGTGTTCTGCCCCAAGGATCTCCGTGCCAGTTAGGAATATGCACCCATTTTAAAATGGCTTTAAAAATAAACCTTTGCTTCAGGACTTGCTTTACCTTTTCCTTCTGTTTCTTCCTTCTCCAAAAATAGTTCCCACCACCATCGTCCTTCGCTCCCTGAAATCCACTGTTTGCTCAGATCCTCTCCCTCCATCTCCTCCCACCTTAAACAACGCTTTGGTACCACTTCTCCTCATCTATCATTCCTAAATGACCAACTTTTACAGTCCAGTTTTCCTAAATCCAGAGATGAGTTCAGTTTTAGGGCTGGAAAATTGAGTTGCTCACCAAGATAATGCCAGAAAACACCAACGTGAAATCAGATAGGAAGGAAAAAGAACCATCCAGAGTCATCTGAGATCCTTGGAGACATTTTCATTCCAAGGAAATTTGAATCTAACTCTGTGTATGAGTCGGGTTCAGTCAAATGCAGCTTTCATTGGCCTACAGAAATTGTAAAAGTCCCTTATGCAGCATAAACACTGCAATCTAGGGAGAGGTTACATTAACATCTCATGGAGAATTTTCAATTTGATAAACAGCATGTTAAGTAATTCTTAATTATTTAATCAATTATGAGCAGTGATTGTAAGTAATCTTCCCTTAGTTGGTCTCAACAAATGCATGAATGGTTTCCTGGTATGCATCCAGCACGCTTCATGCCATGGGTTACTTCCAGCTCCAAACAAAAATATGAACTTCAACACCCTGTCTGGTTTTATATTGTACCCTTAAACTCCTTTCCATGGTAAAAAGCATATTCTCTCCACCCCAGATACCCTTAAAGCTCTCCAAATAAGCACGCTTTCAATTTTAAATGGCAGGAAAACTTCATCAGCACAACGATGCGATGCATTCTCATGAAGAGAGTAGAAAATCCATCTGGCGTATTAGGGCCCAATTATTAAACTCTCCTATAATGTTTATCTACATCAGAGATGCTAGTAAAAATGGCAGCTTTAAATGCCAAAATATACAGCAGCTTGAATACTAATATGCCTTAACATACATCGGTCGTTTAATAATTTCAGAAAGCACTGCAATGATTACTGGCAGCACATCACAAATTGCTATCTGAAAGAAACTTTTAATGGGCTGGTGAG